TTACCCAACAAGCCATACCGCTTCAGGTAGTGGTGGTTGAAGAGGAGAATGATAGGCTTGCAAAATTTCTCATCAACAAGGTAAACCTTATTAAGCCTACCTTTTAAAGGGCAAGAGCTTCTCCTAGATCATCACTTATTGCAATCTGTGAAGTGAAAATAGGTGAGAATTTAAGTGGTATGATGCGATTGTTAATAGTAAGCGCGATGGCTCTCTCAACTGTCCATAGCTCTGAAGTTCCATGGCTCCTTTTACAAAGAAGAATACATCCCTCCATTCCTGAAATTTGTTGAGGATATAATAAGAGTATTCCCCACCCTCGATTGGGGCGAAGGGATATATTGTACCACCATTCCATCCTTTTTGCCTACACAAGCAGTAGACCAAATCGAACACGTTCGTTGGATTCTCACCTTTGAGCTGTATGATCTACCAGAGTAGGTATACTCACATCATCTAGCCACAGTCATTGAGCGTCACTTATGAAGGAGGCAAGTTGAAATAATTTAGAATGAGGAGATATAAGTGGTGTGGTTGTAGGTGAAGAACCTATTGTCCCTACTCCATTGCCTATTCACAATATACAACTCTTTAGAGTTTTGTAGGCATGTTTTATATAATCGAAAGCATGCAAGTGAATCCTATCAGATCTCTAGAATTGCCCATACAATCTAGTTGTACCCATTTGTGATCAATATAAATTTATTTACTTGATAAAAAAAAAGGTTCCATGCGACTTTACGTAATTGAGGCATTGAACAAAGATGAGGTCGGCAAACCCTCTCAATACTTAATTGATTTGATACAGCATATGGTGTAATGAATTTGGCAAATCATCAAGTGAATCCTATCAGATCTCTAGAATTGCCCATACAATCTAGTTGTACCCATTTGTGATCAATATAAATTTATTTACTTGATCAAAAAAAAAAAAAAAAAAAGGTTCCATGCGACTTTGCGTAATTGAGGCATTGAACAAAGATAATTGATTTGATACATCATATGGTGTAATGAATTTGGCAAATCATCGTCATCAATTTTGGTCAATTGCTCAACTCGTGCTGATTGCATTACTCTTTCTAGTTCTACCATTAGGCTCTCTTGCTAGCTTTCTTTTTTGTTTAAAGGTTCGTTCAATTTTCAAATCAAAAGGGAAGATATCGTAATGTCTCAAACTTTGCAGCAAGAAAACACTAATAGAAACAAAAAGAAAAATTTAAATCGAGGCTAGAATTAATAAAAAAAATAATGTAAATGAAATATTATCGTCCTACATAGACTAATTACCTACTATCAATTTTTGTCTAAACCTAACTTCAATTTAAAATAATTTGGTTACAAAATTAATGACTTGATGAATGAATTTAAACCACTAGTGGAAATTACACCTAATGTCAACTTTTGGCTTTTCATTTGCAAAAATGTCACTTTTTAAAAGTCATTGCAAGATTGTCAATTTTTGACATTTTTGTTCCTCTAGATAATTCAAATATCCTTCATTTCCTTCATTAAATATAGATTTGACTAGATGAAAAAATAGTACAAATTTTTTTAAAACATCACATCTCTCATCTCACTATTAAACTGTTGATAAATTATCTTCTAATTATTGAAAAACAAATTATCTTCTAATTATTGAAAAAATTATGGAGATTTTCATTTTCCTCTCCCGATCGACTCTAGCTCGCCCCTCTTTTAGCTTCTCGCCTCTCTGCTCCATCCGGACCTGCGACGACGATGGCCACTCCCTTAGGTAGTTAGCCTGCTTCTCTTCTTCTTCTCTCTCATTCACTCTTTACTTTTTCACAAATCAAAACATGCCGGACCTTTTTTTCAACCCTAACCACGCTGCCACTATGCCATGTCCACCATTTGTGCGATAGTGCCTCACTCACACCTCCGGCCAGCCACCTACTCCTAGTAAAGGAGAAGTGAAGATTGTTTGTCTAGCTTTCTAACTTTCTTTAAATCTACAGAATCGAAAGGAAAAGGCAAAAATGGTGAGTCCAAATTGGATTGTTGTTCATGTGTGATATTTTAGCATTTTAAATAATTGATTTTAGCTTTTCTGTGAGTTTCTTAAGATATTGAGATATTCTGGGCTTCTAATTGCATGTGCGTGCTTTTGTTTTTCAAATTTTAATTTGTTTCAGGGTTTTTAGATGTGCACATTTTGCGATATATGATGGTCATGGAGGTTGGTTAGCTACAAAGTACGCTTAGAAGCATCTTCATGTTAATATTCTTTTCAACGGGCTTATTAGTGAGCTGGTCTGTTTGTTTGAGAATTTAGTGTTGTAATTATTGTTCAAAATTCTATTTTAGAAAACTACTATATTTTACATTCCATTTTGTAATTGCCCTTTCATGGTTTGGCGTTTGTTGAAAATTTTCAGTTGGATGTTAAGTGTTCATCTCGTTGGACGAGTCAAATGAAGATAGCGGAGAAGAAGGTTCAGCCATCGACGACAAATGAAGTATCGCCAATGAAATATAGTGAATAAGTTATGTAGAGTCTTTTCTTTTGCAGGGATGAATTTGGTTAACACACAACCAAAAAGTCAGCATGAACATGTCCCTAACGTTGTAATTCGGGTAGTGTATTTTGTGTACTCCGATCCAACTGTCAAGAATGATAGAGACAATCTGTCGGGAATGACATTGAATTGTCAGGCTGTAATGCAGTATGTTGTAAATGGATCCGTATTTTGCTTGTGAAGTTGAATATGTATTTCCCTGTCTACGAACGAAACAGGAATGGTAATGACGATGTAGTTGAATATAATAATGTAAGTCGATAATGTGATGGGAAACATCGTAGGTTGAGCGGATGTTACGAAATGGTGTTTATCATGCACTATCAATTGAGTTGCAAATTATAATTTATTTGGTAGGTATTGAAAAAAGCATTTTTAAGTGGACAAAGAAGATACACGATTTTGCGTGCTTCCTTCAAGTATTTTGAACGATCGTAGAGTTGGAGGGTTAATTGTCTATATCAAAGACATTGTTCTATAAATTTTTCCTTATGTTTATTCTTCTTCATTTCTTCTGGAGTTTATTATTTACGTTAACCTGATCTTTAATTATGTGCATGTTTTCGTCAACTGTCGAAAATAAATAAAACATCTATCGGGACCAACAGTTGAACAGATCAGGATGTTGTGCAATTGAAAAATGGAAATTTGTGCATTTTATAAGTTTCTCGCTTTGGGAAAAATGAAAATTATAAGTTGGACCAATACAAGTGTCTTAGTTTATAAATTGAAATCTAGAGATTATAAGTTTCTCATTTTTTTTTGCACATTACAAGTCTAACCAATACAAGTACACTTAGATATTCAAGGCATCATACCAATTATCTATCAAATTAAATTTGAGATGTGATGAAAATAAGTTGGTAGTTGGGAACTAATTGACCTTAATTAACCATCCTCTCTACCCAATTATAAATACCAGTGCAAGACTTTATGTTCATAAACCACCCCTTGAAAGACTAGAGAAGATGTTGTGAGACTCCCATATTGAAACAGTTAGTTGATATAAGATAGTGAGTTCATCCACCTCCAGCAACGAACCATTCAATCCCATTATGTATCCATCGATACTGGGTTTGTCCGCTGAATTTCCCATTGTTTTATTCTCAAACAAGGAGGAGGTAAGTGTTGAGCACCATGAATTTCAAATGATTACTCATACCTGAAATCTTATGATTGTAACGATAAGAATTCAGAATCAATATGTTGGCATTTAATAGCATGTAAGTAGCACTAGATCATACACAAATCTGTACAATAGCAAAATGTCAAATCAAGGGTTTCCATCATTTTGAAGTGTCCAAATTGACAATTAAACTATATACCCCTACAGTTTGTAAATGTTGGGCTCGACATTTCAAACGTTTAATTCGACGGTTTGTAAATGTCAAATTCGACAGTTGTTGGGAAGCAGACGGCAGTAAGTGGAACTCAGACTTTTTCAGCACAGCACATTAAGTGTGATCATTACTATTGAGCTACCAAATGACAAAATGAAAATGTTAGATTGACCTTGTCATTAAAGAGACATTTAATGAAAATAGTATTTGTTTTGAATGGAAGAAATTGCTCAAAACTTTAATGGTAATAATGACATTTTGTAAAGGACTCCAAAACTAAACAAATCAATACATAATAGTTTCAAAATTTTCAAATAAATATGCCCATATCGTATTTAACATTTACAAAACAAAAAACTACAAGAGTAAAATATAAATAATTTGTAATTGCTAACATCTCAAAATGGATGAAGAATACAATAAAAATATCTTCTTGATCAATGAAAATGAAGAAGATTAAGAAAAGTTAGAGTTTGTAGTTTATATTTCATCTTTAAATTTCTTTTACCCTTTTTTATTAACAAAAATTCATATTAATCAATAAAATACACATTTATCCATGTTTTATATATAGAAATTAGGAAAACGCTCATTGTACACTGCTGGTACATAGCATTTCAAAATAGCTGACGTGGCATGAGCTTTGGGCGACAAAACAAAACAAAAGTGATTGGGTTACAGCCGAGTTTTTATGAAACGACTGGATCGCTTAAGCCGGCCCAAAAGATAGCCACCCACAGATTGTGAGAAACCCTCAATTCACACCACTTTCATGATTTCTAGCATCTCCACCCAAACGACAACTACCCACTCTCGTGAACATCTTGTCGCCACCCAAACGAAAGATGTAACTTTTCGCATTCGGCAGTTACATTCCCCCAAATCTCACACCGATCGGAGAACGATCGCGAGGATTCCATCCAAGCAATGGTAGATTTCCCCAAATCTGAGGAGAAATAGTTGTTTGTAACTTAGGGGTCGAAGGCAACTTTCCACATTCGACAATGACATTCTCCCAAATCTCAGACCAACTGAAAAATGACCACAATGAGTTCACCCACGCGACGGTAGATTTCCTCAAATCCTAGGAGAAATAATTGTTTGTGACGTAGGGGTCGAAGGAATGACGGAGAAAGGTTAGATGATTTTACCCTTTTTTTGCACTTGTAAACCGTAAGTTTGCGAAGTGACCTTGTGATTCTGTGGTATGTTTTCCACTTTCCTGTATGGTTACAAATGCATCTTGTACATTGGGCTGCAGCTGATGTTAAAGATAGGAAATCCAACCACCCAAATTGCATATGATACTAACTTCTTTATGCAAACGAAGGGTGGGGACTGTCCTTGATCAATCTTTTTCGAATTATGAAATCTGCTAGTTTTTTTATTGTAATTGTGTGTTGGATCCCTGTGTTGAATTGGAAATATTTGTGTTGAGTTGTGGGAATACCAAATTTCGACTTAGATTGTCTGTTTTTGTCATGAAGATGCATGGCAAAAGTTATATGTATGCTTTGATAGTCTTCAATATCACAGATGGAAAATGTTATGTTAAATTACATAATGAATTATGCGGTCTCTGTTTCATATCCTGACTATGTTATATATAGGCTTCGATAGTTTTCAATACTAAAATTATTATTCTGCTGCTGCTGATGTTAATTTGATTGTAGAGTTGATCATGTTCCCATTTAATGCGTTGTAGGAGAAGAACGAGTTGAAGTATCGGAGGACGAAGTCCTTGTACAATCCAGTAATAGGGGTAGTACTGAAAATGTAGTCACAATGAAAGATGATGTATTAGGAGAAGATGGTACAATTGTGCCGGAGTTAGAAGGAGATGGTACAATTGTGTCGAAGGTGGGTATAAAGTTCAAAGATGAAAGCGAGCTATACAAATTTTACAAGAAGTATGCGTATAACGTAGGTTTTTTGGTTTGGAGAATGAATTCGAGGAAGGGGGAAGATGGAGTAGTGAGATCTGTTACGTTGACGTGTTGTCGTGACGACCGTAGAAGCACTAATACAAGCAATTCTTTGAAATCGCAACCAACAATTCAGACGGGTTGCAAAGCAAATCTTACTGCTTCAATAGATATTCATGGAATATGGAAAATTTGCACAGTGTGTCTTGAACACAATCATAAAACAAGTCATTCGAAGTCAAGGTTGTATCGATGTAATCGAGAGTTGAGTGCAAATGTCAAACGCAAGCTTGAAGTGAATGATATGACTGGAATTCCTCTGCACAAAAGTTACAACTATGCAGTTGTCGAAGCGGGTGGGGATGAAAATATGACCTGCGTGGAAAAAGACTGTCGAAATTATGTTGAACAGGTGAGGTGTTTGAGATTAGGTGATGGAGATGCCGCGGTAATACAATCCTACTTTTCACAAATGCAGGCACAGTGCTCGAGGTTTTACTTTTCTATGGATTTGGACGAAGAGTCACGGCTTAAGAATTTGTTTTGGGCAGATAATAGGTATAGGCTAGCGTATAAGGAGTTCAGGAATGTAGTGACCTTCGATACGACATATCTTATAATAAGTATGACATAGTTTTTGCTCCCTTTGTCGGAGTGAATCATCATGGCCAGTCAATACTTCTTGGATGTGGTTTGCTATCAAATGAAGATATGGACACATTTGTGTGGATCTTATGCATGGCCGACATCCTAATAGAATTATTACGGATCAAGATAAGGCTATGCAAAATGCAATTGAGATAGTCTTTCCCAATACGAGGCACAAATGGTGTTTATGGCACATCATGAAGAAGTTACCTGGGAAGTTTGTGTACCACGTTGACAAAAGCTCAATTTTTTCATCCATACACGCATTAGTGTATGATACGCAGCGTGTTGAAGAATTTGAAGCAGGTTGGGATATTATGCTCGATACATATAACCTACATGAGAACGAATGGTTGTCGAGATGTATGAAAATAGGGGTCGTTGAGTGTCATGCTACTTGAAAATGACGTTTTGGACAGGGATGTCAACAACTCAACGGAGTGAGAGTATGAATGCATTATTCGATGGGTATGTGCATTCGAAGACGTCGTTGAAGTAGTTTGTTGAGCAATACATGAGCATTGAGAAATAAAGTTGAAAAGGAATTCCAGGCATATTTTAAATATTTTTCACCAATGGTGCCTTGTGTAACAAAATATGAAATTGAAAAACAATTTCAAGCAATTTATACGATTTTGAAGTTTTGGGAAGTTCAGGACGAGATAATTGAGAAGGTATATTGCGATGTGATATCTGCAGTGGAAAGTAACTCCAAGAGGAAGTATGAGGTTGAGGATGATGTCATTCACGGAGAGACGGTGAGGAAGAAAATTTTTTATGTCACATTTCGTGCAGGGGAGTGTGATATTATTTGTAGTTGTCACCTATTCTAGTTCCGTGAAATTCTGTGCAGACATGCCATATCAGTGTTGATGCATAACGGCATCACATCATTACCGAAGAAGTACGTATTGAGGAGATGGAGAAGAGATATTAGTAGAGCCGATACGAGGGTCGCTGTGAACTAAGCCAATCTACTTAGCACTCCTAGCCAATTGAGATATGGTATAATGTGTGATTTGTTTGCTACATTGGCCAACGTGGCCGTCGATGACGAGCATTGATCTACTGCGATAATTGATTCGATTCAACATCAATCTAAAGACATAGAATTTACGAAGTCCGCCTGCAGAAGTAATAGCATTTCCCAGCCTAGTTTGCATTTGGGGTCACAATTGAGAGCATCACATGAGATGGGCAGTGAGGACATACAAGATCCTAAATGCGCAAAAAGAAATAGCGCCCCGAAGAAATTACGTGTTAAAGGCTCCTTGGAATTGAGCTCTTAAAAAAACAAAAGTAAATTCAGTAGCTAAATATTTTCTCATGAGCTTCATAAAGATCTACTTACTAATTTAAACTAAGAATTATTCCAATGTCTTGTAGGCGAGATCGAAAGGCTCGAAGAGCAATCTTGAACACAGTGCGCCGAACACTCAGACCTCGGCACATGTACAATATTTGACGCCGACATCGTCCCCATATTTACAGGTTACATACGTAAATATTTAAATATTTGCACAATGTCTCATACATATGTTTGATATTTATTTGTTCATGTCATGCAAGGCAAAGGGAAAAGTCATGCACTACCACATCAATTGTATTCATCACAAGTCTTTCCCATGTCGTCTTCAAATGTTTTACCCAGTTGGCAAGGTAATTATATTGGTTCCAATGTATTTTTCGCACATTCAGACATTAACATATTGCACTTATCATGCTTATGTTAGGCAATATTCAGCTGTACTACTATGGTGACCACACATGGGCGTCGTTGGGGATTCATTGAGCCAGTCCGCGACGGGTATTTTCCCTCAAGTATTTCACACTGTAAGCTATGTATTTTTATTAAGAGATATGAACATATCATGTAAAATTCTCCTTCAACTATCTGCCGATAACATGTAAATGTAGCCATTTCGGCCGTCTACCCCTCCCAATGATATAGTAGGTTGAATGTCACCTGGCACCCATTCCGTTCCTCAGGCTGTTGTTCATGAAAGCCCTTCAAGTCATGTTGATATACCAAGTTTTGGAATGGCTTATGAAGTGACACCCAATTCTTGGGATGCATCTCAATAGTCTTGTTCACCATATTCCTTCCACTTGAACAAGCTACCATCATACTTGGTTTATGTCTTAATATAAATATGACTTTGTTCCTTGATGAGGGTGCTGTTATTCTCGGCAATCAATGTGAATAATTCTTGGTGTTGTTTTGTTATAATGGCTTGATCTTTTTCTGTATGAAAATCGGATGAATTTATTAATTTTAATTATGAATGTCGCTATGACTGAGTTAGATTTAATTGCAGTGTAAAAAAAATTATAGATTTTGAAATTTAAATTGATTTTTTGAATGTTAACTGATCATAATTGGATTGTTGGTTCATTTTGGTAATGTGAGCTATATTACCCAGGTGGCATATTTTTGGAAGAAATCTTTGGTTGCATTCTCCAAGTACTTTCATTGCCTGATTTTTCATTTTTCTACCAGAGTCCTATGCTATCTTGGAAGGATTATGATTTGTAAAATCACAGACTTTTTCATAACTTACTCGAACGATTTGACTGCATAAATACAATTATGGCAGTCAAAGAACCATCTCATCGTGGCCAGTAGGGCACTCTTCTATCTATTGAATGTAGTTTCACAAGGTCTGAGGCAAACAATATAGTTCATGTTTATAGAATGGCTTGAAGAGACTCTAAGTTTCATTTCTGAAGCTAGTTTTTTTCATATGCTTAGAGTCAGGAAATTAACACGAATGAAGGAAACTCGTTTCTTGTCTTCAATTAACAAACAAGTGTTCCACTAACATTTATCGACGTGAAAGAAGTATGATATTAAACTACAATAAAATTAATAAAATTTAATTGAACAAACAATTTTTAATATTCTTTGAAAACTCATCTTTTTGAAAGTCATTTATAGTTCTTTGAACAAATATAATCCTAATAGTGTGCAAATTTGGTTATGAGTAGACTCAGAAAACTATTTTACTCTAAAATTGGACATACTTCAGCCAAGTATGAATTGAGAGTTGAAAAACATTTGCACATTGGACAACAACGTTAAAAAAATAATTTAAAAACTCATGAAATCTTGTAGTAGTTTTTTTTTTCATGGAACCAAATGGCGGCCCTTCTCTTGCTGTTAGAGACTTTGATCTCTGTTTGTGAGAAAAAAAACATTACATACACGAGACATTACATACCATTCAATTGGAAGAAGAAGAACGAGTAGCAAAAATAAATAAAAATGCATAAACAAGTGCCACATCAAAATAGTAGCGTACCATTCATACATACGTGATTACAAACAGTTAGAAAGCATTTAGATATACAGTCCCAAATGATCACCACATACAACCTGTTGGATCACCATCCTAATACTAAAACTTCTACATTTTATTTTCTAAAACTTGTTTCCCTTTGCGCATGTTTATTTGAAGAGAAATGTCCAAGTCTTTCTCCTCGCTTAATTGAGCAAGCGTTTTCAACATATGGGACAAAGAATCCACGTCTTCACCTCCAATTGTGATGCAACTTGATTCATAGTCATCGTGCAACGGACACTTTTCGTCAGGAAATTTGTTACACCACTTGAAGTACCTACAGTCACGGGTACATCAATGAAACAACAACCTTTTATGATCATTGTTCTTTTCGACCTCCATCCATTTGATGAAACCTTCACCACAATTTGGGCATCTTCTCTTTGTCGGGCATTCAGGCATCGTTTATCCCCTCTGTCGACAAGAATGACATATTCCCTTAATCTTGCTTGCCATCGAACTTACCTAATTCAACCACATCAAACAACCATACCAACAGCTAAGCATATCAGTAAAATTCAAATGAAATTCCATATACTGTTACAAAAGAGAAGATGTTATGTGCGTTCTTGTGTGTATATACATGAAGACATTTTTTTTCCAAACCCATGGCATAGAGTTTATCTTCTCTTTACACAAGTTTGTCTAAGAGTCTTGCATGAACGAGAAAAGAGTGGATTGTAGCCAAAAAGAGACAAAATGAATGTCACTGCCACTAGTTTATAAGAACTACATTTGCTTATGATAAAAAATAAATAAATTTGTTGGGTTGTCTTGAAGATAATAACACACAAAAATAACAGTAAATAATGTGTTGTCTTCTTCAGAGTTTTCAGACATGATATCATGTAGCGTTATGTGCTACTCATGGGAATTTACATTCAGCAAGAAGAATAGAAAATTCTGGAATTGGTAACAATTTTAAACATCCTTGGATTGGATGAATTATCCAAAGAGGATCGTTTAACCGTAGCAAAAGCACAAAAAATTGAGCGTTTGGCTAAGCGGTATGTATTTCCACGGTGCTCGATTTTTCAGAAGCGTGGCTAAGTGATCCAACTCACATTGGGCCTAGTGCCTAGGTGGTTTGGCCAATAGTGGGCCACACTTATGATCTCCCCCTCTATGTCTTGCGGTAATGATTCCTCTAGCATTACGATCTTTACCACAATGATGTTGTCCATAAGCAACTTCGTTTCTTTTTGTCCAAGTCACTTTTTTTTTGTCCAAGTTGTTTTTTTTTTTTTTTGTCTAACTCGCTTTCTTTTTCTGTGTGAGTTTAGGGAATATCCCCATTCATAGGTTCGAGATCTATCAAAAAATAATAATAATAATAATATTATTATTATTATTATTATTATTATTATTATTATTATTATTATTATTTCTTTGTTTTAATAATATACAGTATTATTTGTGTTGAAATAACCATATAACCCAAATATATGAAATTATCGCTATAATTTTACGGGCACCCAGCTCACATCGAACAAGAAATAGGACACCCAGCTCACGTCAAACAAGAATTGGAAAAAAAAAGTCTACGAGATGGAAAAAATTAAATTGTAAGCGTAAAATTATGACTCACAAACTTCCTTCTTTCCTCTTTCCTTCCACAATCTACCTTTCCTACTGTTCAGATGGTGATCGACGGCACTGGAAGTGGGTTGTCGCCTGTAATTTTTATGGTGGCCTCTGCATTGTTGTTGTTCGTGAATAAGAGAGGGTTCGATTTGGGGAAAACTCATCCGTAGGAGATAGTTTTCAATTTGGGGATGAAATGACGCAACTAGGAGAGAGATTGGGCTTCAGTTGAGTTACTACCCTAAACCGTTTATTTTCAATTTTTCCACTTTTTTTTTTATTTTCCACGTTAGCACTGTACGTTAAGCTGTATACAGTGTTGTACGTGTAGCAAAATCGTAGAAATTAAATCATCACATCAAATCAGTGTTTTTCCTTCAAATCAAGCATTAAATGCTACTAAAAATGTGTCATTAAGGGTAATTTGGATTTTTCACCCCAAAAAAGTGACATTTTTGCTCACATAAAGTGAAAATGACAAATTCTTTAGAACTTTCGTTTTTCGTGACATTTTTGTAAATTTCCCTTTAAACTAATATTGTACCAATCTAATACTATTGATGCTTGAATGACCACATAGAAGATTTATGGGATTAGATAGTTAGAAATACTTGAATGACCTTGTGGAAATTTATGGAATTAAATATTTAGGAATTCTAATTTCACTTAGTTTAATTAATATTCACTTAAACCAATATAATTCAGACCCTTTTCATATATGTTAACAATTGAATTAACCAAGTTTAGCTAATGATCTTTCTCAAGTAAAAATAACCATATTCACATGTTCGAATTTACTATATTTTTATGTAAATTCATACACATACAAACGTATTAATTTACATAAATTCAATCAAGATTGCAAAACCTTTAAGAACATCCCTCAATCTCTTATCAAAATCTATGTTACATTACATTAAGTAGATTAAAACATCATCTCTTGATGTCAATAGTATCTATAAATCAAATAATTGATGATCATGCAATTTGAGCATAATTAAAAATGCAATAAGCATTTAACACATATCAAAGTTGAATGAAGTCTTTTGAATTAAATTTATATTAAAATCTAAGCTACACCGTCCATAAAAATTATCTAGCCACTCATAATTGCGAAATTAAACAAATGAAAGAAAAAAATCACTATTTTCAATTACAATGAACTAAGAAAAGATTTCCGGGCTATTGATCCTCTATACACAAATTCCAACAATGGATCTTCAATCTCTTTCTTGATAATTGTAGATTTTCTAACAAATTGAGAGTTTGTCTTCAAATCCCAACAATGATCCACAAATCTTGAGAAGCCACATGAGTACGATTTTTGCTACAAGAATGTTTCTGCCTTCGAAACATTTAAGGAATTCTATTTATAGACTTCTAATGAGGTCTAAAATTCAATCCCTAAGTAATAAAGGATTTGAGTTTGATTAAGTAAGAAATTGAATTATGGGCCACGACATAGTGGATTGATCTCATCACCTAGGCTATTTAGCATATGCTTAATATTTTTCAGACCATTGCATTTGCTTGATAATAGACCATTGCGATTGTAACAATCCATTTCTTTCCACTCCTTTATTGTTTGATCCTTGGATCCAATATCTGGTTTAGCCAAATTCCTCCAACATTACAATGTAAGTGCTTCAACATTCAAACTTGATACAATGGTCCCCTAATTCTAGATTGCATCCAACTTCAATCATTCTTGATAAAATCTCACTCCCTGTTATCATTTTTCATTCAATACTTGTGTTTCTCCTAAAATAATCTATAAACACACAAAATTAAGTGTCTATACATAAGTTTCAAAAATCCATTTTTTGTGGCCCGATGAGTGTAAAATCACACTCATAGATATTTGTGTAATAATTTCATAAAAAAGGAGATTTTATTTAAACATGCCAAACTATAATGCTATGTCTAATTAACCATTTTTCTTATTATCAAAATTTTCAATGATCAAAGCTTATTTTCCTTCACATCACTGACTCGAAAGCCAAAGATGTCATTGTAGTTATCTGTATAGTAAAGTCTTGCTTACCTATAAATTGCTTCCCAAAATTATGTTGATTTCCTTCCAAAGCCATTGGCAGAGGAAGGAGGCTTACTGGCATTGAATTATTGATAATTAACACGATTATCTCCAAGCTGGCGTTC